TTATAAACTTATCAAAAGAATTCCAAAATTTGATCATTGATCCAAGTTAAATATTTTTCTTTATATAAAAAAAAAGCTTTTATAATACTTAGACTAGTAAGAAAATAATTCTTTTTAATAATACTGATATTTGCTTCTCTTCAATATATCTTATAAGAAGTATTAATACTCTTTTCTATATTATTAAATTGCAAACAACTTTTTTCATCTTTTTTTAAGAAAGGATTATCTTATCTTTTTGAGAAAAGAGTTTATTCATAACATAAAAGATATCACTTATATATTGATAAGTTTCTTTATCTTCTTGTTTGTATTCCTTATTATTAAAATCAGCCATTTTATTTTTATTGCCAGGATTTCAAATTTCAATTTTCAAATTTATAATCTGAGAAAATATTTTTTTAAATTTTTTCTTTTTATCAGTACTTCAAGAATAATTCAAAGAATTAATATATTTAAAAAGTTTATCTTTGTTAATATTCTTTAAAAGAGTTCAAACTTGATATTAAAAATCAATTATCACATAAATAGAATAAGTATAAGATTTATCATTCTTAGTATAACCAGTTTTGATAATTGATCTATAAGTTTTAGTAATAGCTAGTGCAGTAAATATATATATTTTATTTGAAGTATTTTTATTATTTTCAGCTATTAAGTCAAAAAACTTGCAATCACTTACTTCAAGAATTCTAAGATTATTCTTTAAAGCAATAACCAAGGTAGTAATATTAGTTTTTAACTTAATTTATTTATCTAATAATTTTTGATGATTATTTTTTTAATTTAAATCTTCAATTTCTTTAACTTTTTTTTCTTTTTTACTCTCTAAATTTAAAATTTCAATACTTCTTCTTCTTTGTGATCAAATTCATATTCAAATTCAGCAAAAAAAATATCTTCAAATTGACTAATAACCTTATCAACTGATTTATTATTACCAATTTCATTAATTACTTGATAAAAAATAAAATTAGTTCTTTATTCTATCAGTAAAGATTTAAATAGAGCTCTTTTATTATTAGTTAAATTCATGATTTCAGTTTTTACTTTATCTTTGAATTGTTTTCAATTATCAAGTACTTCAGAAGGAGTATTTTATCCAAAATATCATTTGGTTTTAAAAGATTATTATTAAAGATAGCCTTTTCTTCTGGTTTAAGAACTCCTCCATAATAATTAAAGTATTCTTTTACTTTATTTATTGTATTTATATCATTTTTATTGAATATCATGATTTTAATTTCTTTTTTTTATCATGTAATATATTGTATTTTAATATTAATATCATTAAAAGATTAAATATAAAAAAATGAACAAAAACTAATAAAGTAATAAAATTTGTGATTGACTAAAATATTTATATTCATTATCAGTATAGATTGATTTGAAATAACTTATATCTTTGAATTCATCTCTAACAAATAGGTGAATATTATGATAAAAATATTCTTGTCTTTTATAATCTAAAGGAGGTGGAGTTAGAACTAAAATAGAAAAAGATTTAATTTCTTTGGTAATTTGAAAAATACTTGCCTTTTTAGTTTTTAACAAAGTAAATTTAGTAAAAGAACCATTAGCAAACTAGCTGAGCTTTGACAATTCTAAAACTGACTGCTTTAAATATAAGATGCTGATATTTTTGTAAATCACTCAATTTTTAAAAAAAATCTCCAACACAGAATTAAAGATCTAAGTATTAAAAGTCTTTACTATTTTTATAGTATTGAACTTTATTTAATCTTGCTATACTTGATTTTTTCACAATCTTAATAATATGATCTACATAATCTACTATCATCTTTTGATAAAGTTTCTTAATCAGTCTGAAATTACATTACATTTGAATTTAGTATGTCCTGACACCATAAAATTTAACTCAATACATTCATAATAATCACAAATTACTAAATACAGATAAAATCAAATAGTGATATTATTTTTATTCTGTCTATTCATATTATTACAAGTAATCTTTAGATATTTTTTATCTTTATTCAATTGCTTAATCTTATTAAATATTAGATTTAGTATGCCATTAGAATCTTTGCCAATAATTTTATCTTTATCAAGAATATGATTAATTTGTTTGTGTATTATTTCATTTTAAATATCAAATAAATATACTTTACATGAACTGAGATAATAAATCTTACTTACCTATTGATCAGAATGGAAGATATGAATATTTTATGTTCAATCATAACTATAATGAGCAGTCATGTTAATATTATAATAATCAGCTTTGCCTCTTATTATAAAATGCTTATCTACTAATTTTCTCTATTATTCTGCTAATTTTGTATTCTTGTTATAATAGTTTCTCTCTAACTTAGCTTTAACTAAATATTCTTTAAATTTTTTTAATAAGTCTCTTGCTTCTTCTTTTTTGTGAATATTATATTATAAGTTATTCCAAAAATATTGACACATGTTACATAAATCTATTCTTGAACTCATGATTTGAATATAAGATGTTAATTGATGTCATAACTTGTAAAATATGTTATATTTTAATAATTTCAACATGCTATCATTTTCAAGATCTATAATAAAATCATGATAAACTGATTTATAACTTATTTTGACTGGTAATAATGTAAGTGATTAAGTAATATAATTAATATTTCTATTAGAACTTGATAATATATGAATTTCAGCATAATTCTCAAGAAAATTTTTTATAGTGATAGTAATAGTGATATTAATAGTTATTTTAGACTTCTATCGTGATACTCTTTTTATATTATCATGAATGCAAGATATTATACTATTTATTACCAAATATTTTCAAAGTATGTGTGACCAATTTCTAATATATTGAGATATATTTTTTGATAAAGAGGTATATTGTGATCTCAATAATAAAATATTCACTTATTAATATATATTTTTCTTTTAAGATATTAACTAGTTATTATTTCTTCACTATTCATTACTTTTAGCTGAATTATTACAAATATATCTTGTTTAGTTTTAGAGAGAGCTTGAAATGTCTCATGTAATTTGACAAATTTTTCTCTTGGAATCTTTTTTGAGCAATCACAATTGCAATCTGTCTCCAAGAAATATATTGCTTTTTCATATTCAGTGAAGCTATTGTAATTATTATTATTCATATACAGATAGTCCCATATATAAATTTTATATTTTATTAGTTTTATTTGTTTACTGAATTTCTTTCATCTTCATTTTTATTATGCAAAAGTTCACTCAACTGTCTAGCAATTTGTTATCATTAATCATTGCATTAAAGACTTTCCTATTATAATAAGTATCAAAAGAATAACTTGTTTATATTTAATTATTTGCTAAACAGATATACAAAATATGCTTGAAATGAAAGATTTATTTATTTAACTTAATAATAATAATACTATAAATCTACTTTCTTTGACTCAACTGAAAAATATTGTTACAATATCAAACATACTGAAAATATAATTAATCATCATCACTACCTATAGAATAGCTAGCAATCCATTAATAATAATAATAATTAATATAGCCTTCAACTTTCAATTCTATTAATAACATAAATATATAAACCATTTGCACTTTATCAGACAAAGTGAGAACATCTTTCATTTTAAAGAACTCATCTATGCTATTATAAAAACTAGCTCTAATCTTTCCTATAATAATTAATAATTTCTTCTTGTTTCATAAATTTGTCCTATTATATATATTAAGTACTAGTACTGATCATCTGTCAATATTAATACTCTAGAAATACTTACATGAAATTGAATCATACCACAAAATATTATTTAGCTTGGATAATGATAATCTTTTGGCATACTGTCAACTTGATATAATCTTGTTACTACATTATCATGATGATGTTTGATCTAATAATCAAGCATTTGCAAGTAGCAAAGAAAATGAAAACTTTGTGAGCTTCAACTCTTCAAGAATTTTCCTTTTGATCACCTATTAATTATAGTTTCTTTGAGAACTATTTTGTTTAGTGGTAATGTAGGCAAACACAATAGAATGCAATACTCTCAAAACACAAAGTAAAAATAAAGGTGATCGGACGCTGTGCCCCTGATAAGGTCTATTAGCCTCTATACCCCGACACAGCGCATCGGACTGGAAGTCAAGAACGGGAGACTCGCGTGGCCCGGAGAGTCCAGCCTTACCGACTTACCTGTGATCTAGACGTTGTGCCACCGATAAGGTCTATCAACCTATGCCCCGACACAGCGCATCGGACTGGAAGTCAAGAACGGGAGACTCACGTGGCCCGGAGAGTCCAGCCTTACTAGATCAAACTAAAACTTTTCCAAAAAACATACCTATCCGCAAATTTTTTAAGTGTTGTGGAATTTCAAATGCACGAGATGGCTCAGAAGATAATTTGATTTTTGATTATGATCGAGTATGTCAAAGAAGTAGTAGCAGTTATATATTTTATAGTGATCAAGAAGAAAATGATATTGAAGTGGGTTCTAGTGATGTGAGTAATGGAAGTGGAGAGAGCCATCAAGAGAGTGAGTTTTTAGATGACGAAAATGAAGATGAAGGAAGTTCTCAAGAAAGAGGTATTGATGAATCTTTTAATTTGGATGGAGTTCGCCAAGAAGAGAATGAGGAGGATGATAGTGATGATTATTATGAGGAGATGTATATTAATTACCAAAATAAGTGGAACTAAAGCAATTTATAGATTCTTTTTTTACCTTTTCTTCTAATATCCTGTATTCTCTATCTGTTTTTCTTTCCGTTAAACAATAAAGATTCCAATTCTGCCTTTGTTTTCTCCACGTTAGACTTTTTTTTTCACTCACGGGTACTTTATGCAGTGAAATACCGGGGATAAAATCGGGAACTGACCTAAAGGGAATCGTGTTTATGTTTCCTTGTCCAATGCTTCGTTACCGTAATTGTGCAACGTGATGTGACCAATGAGAAAGCTGACTTTCTCGACAGAAAACGCGACTCGACGGAAACGCGACTCGACGGAAACACGACTTCATTAACATTCTCTTCTGCAGATGATAGCTGACTTAGCAAATATACTTGATACACAGTATCTGTCCAACAGAGATTTCTCGCGCTGGTCGCATAAAGATGGGTATTATGCACTTTGTCGTATAGAACGCAAAGCTATACACATTTCGACTTTTGAGGAGATTTGGAAAAAGTCCCTTGCAACAAAGAAACTGTCACCTCAATTAGTCTCATTGCTTAAAAGTCGAAGGAAAGCGACGGCCATGGACAAAAGCCGGCTGAGAAAAGAATTTCTGGATGAAACCGCAATAGACAGTTTGGAAGAAGACGCGGTAGTGTTTAGCCTGTTCCTTGCATAGCTTGCACCATTTACTGATATTTCATTCAATTATGATAGATAATACAGGGAGCCACATTATTAAAGTCAGGCATGCAATACGATACTAGAAGAACCAAAGCCCGATTGGAGAGTGGCGTAAAACGTCGTAAACGGAATGATGATGGTAAGTACTCGGAAACCTTAACGAGAACACGTGACTAAGGTGCTAATATAAGCAAATAGTAACAGACGAAGAGGAGTATTGTGAAGAAGAAGAGCCAGAAGAACAGGTAGGCGTACCTGCCAATCTGCATGGTTTTATACTCTAATCTTACTTTTCTCTTGAATAATAAGTTCAGTGATGATGCAGTGGAAGAAACACAATCACAACCACAATCACGATTAGAGGTAAGATTTAATGCAATTTAAGAAAAAAAATTGCAATCGTTGTAATGAAAATTTCATAGCAACAGAAGAATTATGCAAGAATGTAGATAAAGTTATTTTCTCTATTGATTCATTATTATACATCTACGTAGTAAATGTGTAACAATGTCATTAACATTTGCATTGATATTAACATCCAACATCATTCAGAACATTCGCAAGTGGTCATTTACTGCAACCAACGATTTGCATCTACTTCCCTTTTCTTATGAGTCTTCATCCAGTATAATTTTAACAATGGAAAAATATTGTAAAAAACAGACAACTTCGAAATTTGAGTAAGATTTTTTTATGCAAAACCTAGATCAATTACAGATTATGTGTATTTCAATAATTTTTGATTTGTTACTCCTGTGCAGTCTTGCACACAGTTACATCCTTGACCTTACACCCAAGTCAAAAATAGAGAGATTTCAAGCCAGAAATATGGGCAGAGCTTATAGCTGACAGACCTGCTACAGCAAAACCTGAATATCATAAGGAAATTGAATTCGTTTGTGATCATCTGTTTGGTCCTCCTAATAAAAAGGTAGCCATCTTTTAATCTGTATATCATTAGTTGTAGATATTCACATCCTTGTGATTTGTAGAAACGATGGAAACTTAATGAATATCGTAAAAGATGGGAAAGTTTAAGAAATCTAGAAGTACCAGAATATGATGATAATACTCCTTATGAAAAAGAAGATTGGAAAAGGATTTTCTATTGGGCAGATCGTGCTGTTGGATCATTGTAAGTCTTTTTCTTTATGTGTTTAGATTGTGTTAAACCCATCTTTTTACTTAGGTTTTATATTTTAGTCTTGATGCTTTTGAATCTGAGCATAACCCTATACAGCAAAATGATTGTGGAGAAAGGGAATGGTTTGGAGGTTATATAGTTCCTATATTTCAAGGTGCCTTGAAATTAAACACTTTTTGTCATGTTCCTTGGTAAGTTATACATTGATCTACTTTTCCATCTTCACTCAGTACCCAAGTTTTATGGATTATTTTAGGGGAGAAGTTACAGTAATTGCAACTTATCGAAGAAAGAACCATGACAAAAATGCATTAGAATACAAGCTTGATCGGGGTCATCTAGCAGATTTATTATGTAAAATCAGCCAAGAAGAAGTTGTTTGTGCTTTGGCTTGTGGGGGACCTCATAAATATGACCTTACAAAGTGGGAATCTGATGAATATCATCTTCCAAGGATGCTTAAAGATACATTAGACAACTTGCTGGGAAATTTTCGAAATAGAAATAGACACACATCAGATCTCTATACTATTGGAATTCAGGTGAGGTTTTCATTTTCCCAATGACTAGTTAATCTTGTGCTGAAATATAATTTGTCTTGAATCAGCAATATATGACGGAAATCCGAATATACATGATGGAAAAACGTGACGTATATAGACTCCACCTCTTAAAATCATTCCATCTACCTCTGTCTCATGCGTCGTATGGCAACTTACGTGTTGCTCTTTCATGGGCATGGAACATAAAGGTTTGAATTTAGCGTAATTACTCGGGGTTATTGTCACATTGTCACAATTAAAAAATATTTCTTCTAGGGTCTTGTTGAACGCCTATCATTTGAATTGGAAGATGAAATGATTGTTTCCTCCAAAACTCCTGAACGCGATCCGCCTGACGAAATGAAGACTGATAAAACACCGGAGAGATCCAAAAAGAAAAAGGTTTGATTATAAGGATTTGTTGATCAACTATTCGTTAGATGACAGTGTTACATATGTGTATGGATACACCGATTTGTTGAATTCAGCACAATTGCATGTGGAATATTAAAGTCACATAATGATTACAATCTTCAACAATAATGAGATCATAATTTTTTCATCGAGTTGATTTCATAATATCTTCGTTGTATAATGTTTCTAATATTAATGCACGACGAAACTAGCATAGACTACTTAATTTCTCGCATTCAAAACTAAATCAATGTTCAACTCGGCTTTGTTGATAATGTATACTTAATGCTTTTGCTTGCCGAGTTAGCCTAATAATAAACTTCTCCGATTGAATAGAGAAATACTCAAGCGCGCCAAAACTGTTCTTCGAAGAGCCGGATAATATCGTGAATACATGATAAAAATACAATATTGCATTGCAAAGGAAGAAAATTATGTCAGTTTGCGACTACAGGACGTGATGCTTTTAAGAATCACATGATCCTAAATCACAATTAGATATTACATAAATTCGTGTATAAGTTACAGCTGTGATAATCGAACATTAGTTAATTTTCAGCCACGTTCACTTTGTCTGGTTTTGTTGCAGCATGCCCCATATATTAAAGATCAAAAATTAATATTTAATAACTTATTTCAAGTATTCTAGTTAATATTATATAAATAATAATAACTCATAACTATATTCATTTGAATGATATTATTAAAACTAGAGATAGTATAACAAGTATGTGATACTTATTTATTATCTATTGTAATATATTATAACTTCAAAATTTTATAAGTTATAACTAGTTATAACTAGATGTTACTTTATTTATTACTACAGAGGGTTATCAAAAGTTTCCAAATGGGATTTTTGGAATGCAATTGCTATACAAAAAAGGTAATGTTTATTATACAAATATGGATTGTTTTTGTTTATTTTGTCTTAAAAAACATTTTTAATTCAATTTTTCTTTCTAACTTTATTTTTTTTACAAATTGTGGTTACAACTACAATAGTAAGAAAAAATAATGAATTAACTGTGAAATAACAAGGTACTATATTTTATCTTTGTAAAAATGGTAATTCATATAATCATGGCAAAACAATAGTTTATGATACATTAAAAAGATATGCTGAAACTGGATACATGAAAAGCAATTTCAAAATGTATGATTAGAAATTTAGTTAATAGTATGCCAGTATGAATTTAGGTGGTGATTGCAGCGGAAGGTGATTCAATTAAATACTAGTTTAATAATATGAAATATAGGTTTTGATAAGCTTAAAATAAAGTTTTAATAAAGTTTTTTTGGCCAAGTTTTAAAAATTATGTGTTTTATATTGCATAAAAATTCATTTGAAAACTTTTGATAACCCTCTGTATATTATAATAGTTGAGAAGTTATTTTTAATTAAAATAAAAGAGATTATTATAAATAAAAAAGTTATTATCAAAGAGATTTTCTAATTATTTAATTTTGATAATGATAAAAATAGTAAGATTAAAATTGAGAAAATTTCTTATTTTATTATCTTAAAGTAATGTAAATTATTATTATTATATATAAAATAACAAGATCTGAAAAAATTTGTAGAGAAATAAAACTTATTAAGATTATGAAGTTTATTATAATATATTTAAATAAATATATTTTAGATAAAATAATAAAGAAAAGTGATAGATTTTTTTATTAAAAAATAACTATAAGAAAAGCTTAAAAGAAAAATTTTTATTAAATGAAATAAAGAGATAATTGAATCAAAAATAAAAAATTATATATATATAAGTTTTTAAGACTTTAAAAAAATCTTAAAATAATAATAAATAGATTACATCCTATAATATAATTATATAATTTTTCAAACTAATAATATAAATTAATAATTATACATAATTTTTCAAACTCTAACTCTAATACTTATAGTTATCAATTCTTATATATATAATTTAATAAAATTAATTAACTTAATTTATATCTTTAGAGAATAATTAATCATAATTCAATAATTAATAATGTATTATAAAAAATAATAAAAGAAAATAAGTAAAAATATAAAAAAATAATTAAAAAAAAATTTAATTAAAAATATTATCTAAATAATATAGTAATTATCTATGTAATAATATATTAAATCTAATATATTAAATATATAAATAATTATTTATATATCCAGAATAAAATTGATTTTTATAAAAAATAATACAAAAATTAATTTATTATATAAATAATATAAAATAAAGATCTAAGTTAAAGAGAAATAATCTAATCAAAATTATTATATATTTCTTTATTTAAAGTATAATATTCTTATTATATTCAAGTACATAATTTTTTAAAGATATTAATCTTCTCTAATATTTTTTAAGTTTTCAAAAAATTTTTATATTATATTATAAAGAAAATAACTAAACTATTTAACAAGATATTAGAATTTGTAATAATAAATTCTTTTATTAAAAATATTTTCTATTTTATATTCTTTTTTATTATTTAATATAATAATAATAATTAGTGATTTATTATATTTATTATTTGAATTATATTTCTTTAATAATAATATATAAAATATCAGATATAATTTTATATTGTATGATAGTTATAATTTATAAGTGATAGAAGATATTTTAGTAATAATTTCAAAAAATTTAATAAATTTTGATATAAACTTCTTAATTCTTTTTTATTTATTAATTAGAAATTTTATATTACAAGTAAAAAAAAACTTTATCTCTAAAATTAAATTCTTTAAATCTTTTATATTAATTTATATATTTATTTTATTTATCTTAAGATTCTAATAATAGATCTTTAGCTATTTTGATTATAATATTCTAATATTTCATAAAATTTATAAGATTACAATATTATTTTAGGATGATAAAATATTAATTAATATATAAAATATTTATTCACAATCTAATTTGAAAGAAATATAGTTAATTAAAGTATTTTTATTATTATTATAAGTAAATTCTATAGTAACTAGATTTTTATTTCATTTATTTTATTAATATATTGTATAAATTTTAAGTATTTCTTCAAGAATTCTATTTAATCTTTCTATTTGATTATTAGTTTATGAATAAAAAGTAGTAAATATTATAAGTTTTATTCTAAATTATTTAAAAAATAATTTTTAAAAATGATTTATGAATTTTATATCTCTATCTAATATTATAATTATGAATAAGTTATGTAATTTGAAGATATTTTTAAAGAACATCTTAGTAATATTAACTATAATTATTATTATTATGATAAATATAAAATATACTCTTTTTAATAATTTATCTATAAATATAATTATAATATTATAATCAGACTTAGTGATAAGTAACTAGATTATGAAATTCATAATAATATATTTTTATTTTTTTCAGATATAGTGAGAGACTGGAATAATTCTGAAAGTTATTGATTATTATTTTTATTATGCTAATATAATTCACAACTGATAATATATTTATGAATACTTTTATTTATCTTTGATCAATAAAATTATTAAGATATTACTATATATATTTTATCTATTTTAATATATTCTGCTATTAGTATATCATAAAATTCAAATAATATTTTTGCTTTTAATATTTTGTCTTTAGATATAATTAAGTGATTAATATTCTTCAAATAAAGTAAATTTTTTTTTAATTTAAAATATTTTATCTTAGTCTATTATTTAGATATTATATTATTAAAATTTTTAAAACTTTATATATTTTAATAAAATATTTATCTTCTTGATACTTTTTGATTAATTCTTTTTTATTTACAAAATTAATAATAATAGCTATAATATTTATTAGGTATAATTGATATTAAAATATATCTATAACTATATTATTTTTATTTAATTTATATTTCACTTTAAAGTTACTAACTTATAAAGTTTTTAATCAGCAAGTCTATTTCTTGAAAAAATTATATTGTATTTTAATATATTTTAAGAAAATATTATCTGTGATAATTATGAATTTCTAATTTTTTAAATATGACTTTCAGAGTCTAATAATATATACTATTATAAGTAATTTTTTTTCATATATTAGATAATTTTATTCTGCAAGCAAAAGTTTTCTTAATTCAAATATAATAATTAATTATTTTTATCTTGATTTTGATTTAACATAATTTTTATGATAAAATCTGAAATAGTTATGATATTATAAATAGTAATTTTGAATCAGATAATAATAAGATTGATATTAATATGATATATTATTTTAGTTATTCAAATATTTATTATATTATGATAAATTATTCATATTTCTTGTCTTATAAAAAAGTACTATGAGTAATAATATTATAGTTGAGAATTCTTTGATAAATTTCTTATAGTAATTTATAAGTTCTAGAAATAAGTAAAGTTCTGATATATTTATAAATATTAATTAATCTTTAATTATAGTTATTTTTTTCTGATTAATTAAAATTCTATCTGCTAATATAAAATATTCAAAATATTCAATATATTATTATATAATATTATATTTTTTCTATTTAGCATATAATTTATATTTGCAAAGTATTTCTAGTATTATCTAAAGATATTAAATATACTCTTTTTTTATTTTATTATATATTAAGATATCATTTAAATATATAATTACAAATTTATCTAGATAATCATGAAATATATTATTTATTAAAATTATAAAGATAACTAATATATTGATAAAATCAAAAGATAAAATCAAGTACTCATAATATTTATAATAAGTTCTAAATGCTATTTTATAAATATCTTCTTTATCTATATGAATTTAATAATATAAATTTAGTTTAAAAAAGTATTTTAAATCTGTAAGCCTATTCATAAGCTTATAAATTCTAAGTAAAGAATAATAATTCTTAATTATAATTTTATTTAAAATTCTATAGTTAATATATAATCTTAATATATCTTCTTTTTTATATATAAATAAATAAAAAATAAGATATTTAAATAAATAAAATATTTCTGAATTAAATTAGCTAATTATTTTTTGAGTTTATCTATTTTT